TAGATTTGGTTTTGATTGATCATATGAAAGATGAATTTGAGTTTAGAATTGAAATTGGGGAGGATCGGGGTCAAATTGATGAACATTTGGGATGAATTTGGGGAAATTAGGCCTTTAAAAATAATTTGGGGGTTTTGGTCAAAATGGTCAAATTGGGTTCAATTAAAGGTCCTAAATTGGTTTTGGAGACACTCGAAGTGATTTTTGATGTAGTTTGGGCCACCAAGGGTATTGTTATAATTTTGGCAAATTTGAGGGTATTTTGGTAATTTTGGCAATTTTGGGTGGTTTTGAGCAACTTGAGTATTTTCAAATGGTTTGAACTTATTTTTGAATAAATTTGGGTATTTTTGGTGAATTTGAAAATTTTGGCCAAATTTGGGGTTTCAAGGGCATTTAGGTAACTTGGATGAATTTAGGGACAAAAGACCAAGTTGGATTTGTTGGTAGAATTAGTTTTCCAACCACCTTATATGAGCTATGGACCAATGAAATTCCCATTTGGGTCCTCTATGTACTGGTCTTAGCTAAACCCTTTCCTAAGGCCAGCGAGTCTAGGGGACCATCTACATGAGTCTCTCAAAAGATCAAGGGATCAAGTCAACAAATATGGGTTTTAGGGAAGCAGGTGAATATATGTGGTAGTGAGTGTAAGTGCGTGAACTAGCTTCAGACCAACACCCATGGTCAGCCCTAAGGTCAAGCAGTCCTATGGGGACTCTCCTTGAGATCCCCCATACTGACCCCACCTACTAAGTGCTAGAGGTTATGACCAATATGTGGAACTTCAAGTTGAACAAGGAAGAGTTTAGATTTTCTAACGGTGAGGTTTTCTTTTCTAGTTTTCTAGGAATAGTCAACAGGAAAGTCCTATAGCTAGACCTTAGGCTTACTAAAGAGTAAAAAGTAATCCTCAACCAAAAGTGAGGTCAACAACTTACATTGAGGATTTCAGTGCTGATGAAAGAGCCCCAAACTACCGCACGAGTGTGGTGTTTTAAACCCTAATCTCCCTGGAAACGCCCACGAGAAACTTTAATGGATTCCTTTGATTATGGGAAGCTCCTAATAGGTGGGGTAAGATCTTCAAACAGTATAATAGACATTGAATACATCCCACATCGTAACGGATGCTACCCATCTGGTGAAATCTCTTAGGTAAGACTAAATCATCACATATCCTGATTTTGTGCCTCGAACACATACCAGGAGATCCAGGCAGATTACTTGAGCTATGGTACTCTATGAATGAATAATAAATAATATCAAGGCATTCAAGTTGACTTCCTACATGAGTGACATAAAAAATGGATGCCAACAGACACCTCTGCCCTCTCCCTTTAGATAAGGAACTGTGTAAGCACAAAGCCCTTATGTTTCTTTATGGGAGGTGGAGGAAGCGAAGTGCTTGAACCGATAATTATAGCCTTCCCCTTCCAACTGCGCATTTATTTTTGCTGATGGTCAATCTAGATTTAATTTCGAGCTTTGGATCAGGCTCACATGCAAATAGAGTATCTAAAGAAGGCCAACTACCGTTGTCCCTTATCGTTAGCACGGTGAAACTCGTACCGTTGGCTAAGGATTCATTAGCAACTTTTGGTCCTTCTTTCAAGGCCTCCTTATTAGTGCCACTCTTGTCCAACCACTTGATGTTCATTCATCGTCTTGGTCTTGTACACAAGAGGGATATGCACCTGATAAAAAACTCTTAGATGTCCTCTCAATAAGAGCTAATTCACTGGTGGTGTTTCTTTGAATTACAATGGAAGGCTTAAAGATATTGAACAAAAAAAAGTCCGCACCTTTGGCGTTCTCCCCTACGTGATACACCGTCGATACCTTCTTACCCTCCATTACTGTAGCCTTGGAGTGGGCATGCTACACCAAGTATTCTTCTTGGTGGCCAGAGTAGCAACCTCCACTTCCCATTTAGCATCCTCAACATCCAAAGCCTCTAAGAGCTTCGTGGTCACCGGGTCATACCCGATTAATGATCTTTGGGTAAAGGTGCTAGATGATGGACAACCACTTTCTGAAGATCTCTGCTCTCTCATTCTGAATTCGCTCTAGCATCATATTCTTCTTCTTGACAACATCTTTTGTCATGATGATATGGATGCCCCAACTAGAGGAAAAAAAGCTGAGGATGAAGTGTAACTTACAATCTTTATCTCATTTTTCATGTCTAACCATTGAAATCTGCTGGCTGATGAGAATTGTACATAGCTTTTCAGACCCACATGAAATGAAAACATGTATGTGAAGAGGTTTTTCAACATGTTACCCGACTCTAATGCATAAAGTGAGTCACATCATGATGGTGGCAACAAAATTGAGCATAATTTGAATGGAGACGACCCATAATGATTAAAGATTATTTGCAACCCATGACCGAATGACAACCTCAAATCCTATCTGAATCTGTCTTGATAAAAAAAAAATTATATCATTAACGAATAATCTTGTCACCCAGTCGCTTCCTCTGATGGCCCATAGATTGATAGCAAGATAAAAAATACAAGTATCCTCCAACCAGGCCACCTCACCTGATGTCATGGTTGACAACTCAGACGCGAAGACTGGCCTAGAATTCTTAGGTTCATACTTTGGAGCCATCAGAGAAAAGCATAAAATGAAAAAGAAAAAAGCTCAGAGTAACTAGAAATGAAGATGACAAAGGACATGAAAAGTGCGGTGGGATTTAACCCATAGCTCTTTTGTATATGGTAATGAGAGAAATTGAACATTCATATAAAGGTATATATGGAACCATACAATACTTTCAAAAAAATTAGCTAATACATATCATATAAACATAAGATTTTAGAACAATAAATAAAATTTTATTTCAAAATTAAGTGTTAAAAATTACACTTAAAAAAAATCAATTTAAGAGGATTTTATAAGAGATCTGTCACTTCAGCCAATACATGCCCTGTCAAAGCAACATATTGTACTAAACTTCACCCCTAATATTTAACTGGTTTGCCCAATTTATCTCGGCATGAACCCAAAACATGAGGTTTGAATCCTCGATGTTTGATAGTTTCAGATAAAGAGTGGCTACCTCCTTCAACCTCTCCAATTTCTTCACACGAGCAAGCAACTCACATATCTCCTTATCTCACTAAATCACAACCATCAAGGCAAAGGAGTTTTCAATTTCATCCAGGCAGTGAGCAAGTGACCGAAGGATATTTGGCATCCATCAATTGCTTCCTAGACCTCAAGAGAACCAATCAGGCAGTTAAACTCTCCATGCTCACTCCCAGTCGGTGCATGGGCTTCCACCACTGGTGTTGCAATCGAATCATGACCAACATTTGTTGTAGGCGAATCATCGACCACCATCAAATCAACTGTATCAGATGATAATATGAGTAAAGGGAGAAAAAAATCTGAACCTAATAAGCAAGATTGGGGCTCCTCATATGAAAGAGCCAATCCAATTCAATCTTTGTAATCAACACAACACTCTCACCAGGTGGAGGCAGAGTGCTCGTAGCTTCTTTCACCCTCGATGGTGATGGTGGCAAAGCACCAATAACTTCATGTGTTATCTATTCAAGAGGAAATATTTGGGGACACTAGGGCAACCCAACCTATACTATGTCACCCACTGAAATTTTCTTCTATTGAGAACCATGAAATGAGTCAAACAACCTTGGTCCACCTGCTTGTCTGCATTCCACCCTTGACGACGACTTTCTTCTTCCTCTTCTTCTTACCTTCCAGATAATATCACGTCATTGAATTCCTGAAGGTGGTGATCATCATATCTTTGCTCGAAAATGGATCAAGAGGGTTCGAGTCCATAAAAAACATTTGAAGGCTGGCCGACTCATACAATGAGATGCAGAGCAAATTTAGGATTTCAAAAGAGTCTCGTCACACCCTATTTATATGAATTATGGGCACATAAATCAAGAGTGTTCACTTATTCAAGCTCTGATTACAAAATAAATGTTATTTACTTTTGCATTTAATTCTCTTATTCTTATCATAGTGTTATTTCAAGAAGTAAGTGAATCAATGAAATAAAATATGTACATCATGAATATGCCAGTACAAATCCCAAGGAGATCCAACGACCCAAAATGATAAAAATATAACAAATAATGGCCCACCAACAGAAGACAAAGGGCCCCACTTATCCGATAAGGTATAGCCATCTGAGTTAGAAGCAGGAAAAAAAATGATGATCTCAGTTCGGGTCGATCAAACTTGAATAAATAAATCAACACGTGAGTTAAACACCATCGGAAAGTTGAGCGAAGGTAACGACCTTCCTCTTGATCGATTCAACCCAAGGAAATAATCGAGTTCCTCATCATTATTAGCTGTTCCACAACGCCCTTGAGATTCTTCATCTGTGACCAAGAATTGACTATGCAATAGACCATTACAATTACTTGACGTGTTCCACACGTCAAGTAATGACCCATCTATCAAGTTACGATGATCCATAATATGCTTGATAGACTAGTCTCGTTCTGTCGACATGAGTTCCTCTTCTTAGGATCGAGGATTGACAGTTAGGATAGATAAACCGATCAGTAAATTCTAGCCGACTGAGCCAGCCCTACTGACCTGAAGTTAATCAAAACCAGCAGATCAGTTGTGCTAACTCAATCAAGCTGACCGAATCGGCTTTACCGATTTGAAGTCATGTTAGCCCAACCGACCAAGTTATAGGGCATCATGCAACATGCTCGCACATATAAAATAGCTAAAATAAATTGTAACGATCCCATTAAAGTTGGGGCAAAAAATGTACTATCACATATTATGCTCTCTCTGTATAAATATGGTGATCATTTTTTTGAGAAAAAGCTAATAGACAAGACCTTTTACTGTTCATTTGTCTCTCTATCTCTCTCCTTTCTTGCGCTCAAACCTTGGAGTGTAATTCACGGTCAAATCAGGATCTAACAATATATATATATAGATAGATAGATAGATCCAACAAAGAATTTAATTTATTTTTATTAAGAAAACATATAATGATAAATTTGCCATATTAGGATACACTGCCATGTCATAAGCTAATGATAGATGACAGCCGATGGCTTATTCATATTGACAACTAATCAAATTCTTTAGGTCTCAAGAAGAAGAATATGGCTTTTTCACTCTAGAAGATGCTTCTGGCTCTCCTATCGCAATTCTGGGAGCATGAGAACCTGCAACTATAAGCTCGTCCTTCTGAATCAGTTCTTGTGCCCTAATATCTTCGTCCACAGTTAAACTTATGATCTCCTGCCCATAAGGTCCTTGTACTATACTTTCATGAACATGAATGTGATCCTCCACGTTAACAGCCTCCTTCTCATTAACCACTTCCTTCTTCTTCTTCTTCTTCATGAAGCAGAGGAGTGCGGCTGCAACGAATGCGGCGAAGAAGAGACCGCCGAGTGAGACGAATACTACGATAATAACCGTGTTGTGGGGAGGGCTCGGCGGAACAGGCGCAAGTGGTGCCGGCGGCGGTGGCGGTGATGGTGCGAGCTTTGGTGGTGGCGGAGTCTGCTTATGTGGGAGTGGAGGTGGTGGGGAAGAATAGTGGGTTGGTGGTGGGGAGAGGTAAGGGTTGCCAATCACTTGCATGTTTGGTGATGTTGAATGAAAGTGGTGTGGTGGTGTGAAAGATTGTAGGGGAATTTATAGTTTGTAAAGAAGGTGGATATGAGAGAGAATTGAGGACTTTGGGGGGAGAGACTTGGCTGACATGCTAAGGTTTTGTATTTAAGGAGTTGCTTCAATCCATTTGTTGCTTTAGTGTGAGCATTTCTATGGTTTGAGGATATTGGGTTTTCAAAGGATAAGTTGCGTGGATTATGAGAAATATTTGATGGATAGTTATGGTGGATGAAATTGATAGATATTTTTTTTTTGTTGGGGTGATGGTGATTTTAATCTTGCACTTGGCTTGGAATCAAAGGTATTGTCTTGGCTTGATTCAAACTGTGGGAATATCCAAACTTAGCAAGTAGAAGAATATATGAATTCTAGTGTATTACTATTATATATCTTAGTTAAATTGACAAATATTATAACAGTATAGCATATATATTTGTATATAGTGTATATATATATATATATATATATTAAAAAAGGAATGACTAAAGGGTATTATACGAGCCTCTTGCCACTCCTAATGTACCTAACAATTCACGTACCACATTCAAAAGGCCAAATGTGCCAAAGGAGATTCAAACCCCCGACTTGAGGGGCCTTACACCTAAGTGCTCGGCACACACACACACACATAATAATTATATATATATATATATATATATATATAAGATGATAAAAATAAAATAAGCTGAGATTTTCTCATATATATATTAACACACACACAATAGAATTGTGACGATTTATCCAGCTTAAATCTTCACCGCATCTTTGTGTACATGATTTTGCTTAAATCAAAATAGGATTTAATGTGAAAGTCCCCTTCAAAAATAGGGATATAAACCTTGTTCTAGACATTCTCTACAATTTTATTACTTTATTCCACATTAAATAAAAGGAGTATGTTTATAAACACATTAAATCAATTAATACCTTGTTTAGAAGGTGAAAAGCATTTGTTACTTTTGTTTAATCTTGCACTTGGCTTGAATTCAAAGGTATTGTTTTGGTTTGATTCAAGTTGTGGTAAGGGCTTAAAATGATCAATTTTTGCATAATTTTGGATCCAAACTTATTAAGTAAGAAAATATATGAATTCTAGTGTATTGCTATTATATATCTTAGTTAAATTGACAAACATTATGCCTGTATAGCACATATACATATGGATTATGTAAAAACGAAAAATCTCCACTTGATATATATATATATATATATGTTTAACCTCTTTTTTAGAGGCTAGCAAGAAGAGTCTCACTGCAACTGCCCCATGAGAATTAACACCTCGGGGTTTGTACACCCAAAAGTAGTATGCACGAATCTCAAGACAATTTAACAGCTCAATTTAAAAGGTAGATGAAAAGCCACAAGTCCTTGTAAATTTGTTGGACTGAAGACTACCAACCGATCAGTAGCTAGTGGACCAAAGGGCTACCGACTGACCAAAGGGCCACCTAGATCGACCAAGGAACAGGCAAGCCAACCGGTTGCCCTAAGGTCAACCATATACAACATTCAAAATTGACGGCTTCCCAGAATTAAGGCCGACCGATGTTTAGACATAATAGCCGGTCGACACCAACTCAGTCGACCGACCCAATAACTACCAAGCAGAAGTTACAGGCACTAAAAAAGACAAGTAACCTATTAAAGTGATGATAAATACAAAAAAGTGCCACATAAGTTATAACGCCCTTATTAAAGTAGGGGCAAGCGTGTAATTTTATCTTTTTCTCTCTATCTCTTATAAATAGGGAGACCAAAGCATGTATTAAGGGCTTTTGGCTTATTGGCCTTTTGGCTCTTCTCTCTAGACTCATCCACTATAGAGAGAAATCTATCTACTTCTCACTTGTAGTCCTCACTTACAATATATAAAATAAGTTGCAAATCCTGAGAATACTCCATTGGCCTCTATGGGGCAAGTTTGTGTGCACTCTCTTTTTTTATCTCCCTCTTTGTCTCTCTCTCTCTACCTCTCCTTCACGGTTCATATTACTCTGATCCTTAGGCTGGTCTCACTGGACAAATCTGGGTTCAACATCCTAAATGGTACGGTGAGCATGAAGCATGCTATCAACAAGAAAAGAAGGAAGCAACACTGATGAAGAGAAATATATCTTAGAGACACTCCTAACAAAAAGCAATCTAAGAAATTCATGCAACAACAGATCTTGAGTTGAAAAACCCATTTATGTCATCTTCTAAGATGTTTTGGCTTGGAGACAAAAAACACATCACAGAAATGGATGATTGACTCCCAACAGTCGAAACACTTTTTCAAAGAAGGTCGACTAACGATATCAAATGACACACGATCAATTCCGGGTAGCTGAAACCTAGTTCAGCGAATAAAGGGAGTATCATCTCAAAACTTCTATTCACTAAGATACATAAATCTTTTTAATGTTTTCCCGGGTCAAATTGGCACTTGAGGAACTCGAATTTAGGTATCAATGTTGAAAGCGACCACAAAGAGGTCATGTTGGTGGAATATCCCACAACACTCCCTCATCATGAACTTTGGTCTCCAAACTTGAATTGGATAAAACCCTGGAGGTAGTTCTTTGCCCAGTAGCGACAAGCTCCACAAAAGATATAACAAAAGTAATGAGTCTCGTCAGTTACCCGACTGAGGCGGCAATACGACCAAGCAACCTATTTCTTAAAAAGTGTAAGATGTGAGCCATGGACGTACAAATGATAGAAAATAATGATGACTGAAAAAGACGCCATAAACATACAATCAACGTCCTAACACAAAAACAGTCCCTCAATTTCAAGCAGAAAAAAAAATATCTTAAAGCTAATTGTGGACAAATCCCTGAAGGTGGTTCCCTACTTAGTATCGACAAGCTCCATGAAGAATATGCCATAAATCATCTCAGAAATAAGTCTCATTGACTACTCGATCGAGGCAAAAATCCAATCAAGTGAATGATAGACGCAATATAAGACTTGTTTTAGGTCATAATATGTCATAAGCGATCAATGATCTTTCAAAAATTCAAGTCATCAACTAATACAAATGTTCATTGCCAAGCAATTACTGCAAGAAAATAATGCAAAAAAGTTAAGATAATAAATAAAAGAAAAGGTGCAAAAAATTGCGTCTGAAAAGCTTTAATCATTTATAAATGTTAAAATGTACAAGTTTTTTTCTAACAAAAGATTCCATTTACATAATGTACCTCTATAAATATTTTTTTATAAAAAGGTTTTTCTAACTTCCAACAGACTGATTAGAGGACCCTCCATTACCTCTGACAACAGAGTCATCTTCAGAAGACCCATCATAACTAGTGTAAAATGTAACAAATTTATCAAGTTCACAAACTTTTGATATACAAGGCCTAATCAGATGAACATGTTGATCTTAATGATTTTGTAGACTCGAAGCTTCCCACTTAGAATCTTTACCTACCTCAGATGGGAGGGGAACACCTCAAATAGCTCTTCCACAATTTTCATGGTCATAATTTTTTTCTTAAGCTCCTAATCTTCTTATTAGGCGATAGATAAAAGATCCAACAGAGCAGGGGTCTCCTCCTTCGCTGCTTTCACGTTTCTCTCGGCTATCGGTGCTCGTTTTTCAACCTTCTTAACAAGCATGATCAAAGTCTTAGCCCTCTCTAAAGTAGTGACTCACTTTATCTTCACCCGGTTAAACGTGCACCATCAAATGGAGGTGGAATGCCTCTAACACGTTAAGATGGTAGAGATTAGTCTTTTTGTATAGCTCAGAATACTCTAGTGCTTGGAGAGACTTTATTAAAGCCTAAGTCTAGATCAATTCAATGAATGTAGATGGGTAGACTTCGACTGATGGTGAACTAATATACTAATCCACCTTTAATGTACTGACTATCAGAGGAATTCTAAATTTTTGCTCCCTTGCTCTCATAAGGAACCTAATCAACTGGGAAACTCTTTTTTCTTCCTTACAATATGAGGGAGGTGGTGGAGGAGTCTACTCAGAGATTGGCACCTTCCCTTTCCTATGTTGCACCTCTTCCTAAGATGCCGACTTCACGCCAGTCTCTGATTCAGTCTGAGCAGAAGAAGTAGGCTGGCTGGCCTCACTACATGTTGATAGTATAATGTATGTGACATCAAGACAAGGAAAAGCCGACCGTGCTCTTGCCCCTTCCTCAAAGGACTCCTCCTCAACCTAGCTCTCTTCAGAGTGACTAGATGGCTTTCCAGATTCTCGCCACACTTGAAGAAGCCACACCCAACAGATAAGTATTAGTATATGATGATGATGATCTCGTTTCTATGATGGTTAGTTCACCAGTAGAAATTTTATAGTTCATCATTGTAGTTACAAAGATAGAGAAATAAAATTTTTGACCTACAGAGCTGACTACATCGCCAGGAGTCTCGACCAACCTTCCTTTGACCGTCGTGACTCCTTGGGCAGAAAGGACCTTCGCCTGGGCCTCAACTTTGGCTTTCTACCGTACAGTTTGAGCTACAACTTCCACTTCCCATTGGGCCTCTTCTATGTCATCTGCTATTTTTCAACCAAATATTCAAGGTAAAACAACCCTATTAACATTCATTGAATCTATTTACAGGGTAACTGAGAGGAGCTACTCATTAAATTCCGTTCCCTTGACTCGAGAATATGACCCTTTCTTTCTCTTGAACTCTTCCCTGGTCTGCACAGTTTTGATGCCCTAGTTCACGAAGGATGAGGTGATGAAGAACTTGAACTTGCAGCCCTTCACTTTGTTCTCCAAGCCTGAGAAATGGAACCGACCGATGGTGTCAAATTGCACACTCATTAGCTTCCACCTGAAAGGAGAACATGTGTTTGTAAAAATTAGTAGGCCATGAGATTCCTCTCCACAAGCATAAATCTACATAATTCATTATCATCACAATATAATTCAGATTGATGTACATTAGGATAACCCCATATCGAATGAAGACAAAACTAAGTTCTTAGAATAGAAGTAGTCATAATCTATACCTCAGCTAGTCTCTGTA